CCCAGATTCAATGGTCAGTACTATGGCTGGTGGAAGATCCGTATGCATGATTTTATAATGGCAAAAGATTCAGAACTATGGGATATCATTTGTGATGGTCCACATGTCCTCATGAAGAAGCTTGAAGAAACAGGCCCAATGGTACTGAAAGGCAGAAAAGAGTACAAACACATTGACAGAAAGGCTGTAGAAAAGAACTATCGCGCCAAAGAAACTCTTAATGTGTGGCATATGACCTGATGAGTACAACAGAGTCTCCGCTTGTGATACTTCCAAAGAAATATGGGAAGCATTGCAAACCGCACATGAAGGAATTACTCAGGTCAAACAGTCTAAGATCGACATGCTCACCACGGAATATGAGCTCTTTAGGATGAAGGATGATGAGTCTATACAAGATATGCGCACCAGATTCACCTCCATCATAAATGAGCTTCATTCACTTGGAGATGTCATTCCCAGAGACAAGCTTGTAAGGAAAATCCTCAGTGTTCTACCAGGTTCTTGGGAAGGTAAGGTAAATGTCATTACTGAAGCTAAAGATCTACAAACTCTGACTATGTATGAGTTTATTATTAATCTGAAGACATACGAGATAAAAAGAAAGAAAGATAGTGAAAGAAGAGAGCCTAAGAAGGAAAAGAACCTGGTACTCAAAGCTGAAAACAGTGACTCAAGTGATGAAGATAGTGACATGGCCTATTTTATTAAGACATTTCAAAAGATGGTTCGAAGAAATGGTGGTATACTAAAGTGGGGCAGTTCAAGTAAAGCAAGGAACAACGATCTCTGTCACAGATGTGGAAAGCCATGGCATTTCATCAAAGATTGCCCACTCGCAAAACAGGAGCAATACAAACAAAATCTTGACAAAGCAGCAAAAAGGAACCTGGTTCCAAACAAATGATTCCATCAAAAAAGTGTTGCTGACAATATTATTAAGCAGGCTCTTGCTGCTTGGGGAGACTCCTCTAGTGAATCCAAAAGGGAACCAGATGCAGAAAATAGTTCCATGATGGTAGTGGAAACTGAAGCAACGAAGTATGATTCACTGTTCACGCTGATGGCTCAGTCTGATGATGATGAAGAAGATGAAGACGATGAGTAAACTTCAGGGATGTTTAGAGAAATCTGAAATCCTACTCTTCTAAGAAGCTAAGGTCGTTAGCAAATGTTCCAATTGATGCTTATTATAACCTTGTTAATGATAAGGAGATCCTGACCATAGAACTAGGAAAGGCCGAACAATCTAGAGATGATCTGGTGGTCTGTGTAGTGGACCTAATGAGACCATAACTAATCTTGAAAAAGAAAAGGAAGCCTTGAATGAAAGAATAACTAGTGTGGAAAATGAGAGATACGACTTGATGGTAGTAGTTGTTGATCTAAAAGAAACAATAGAAGGTCTTAGCAATGAGAAACACACCTTATAAGGAAAAATTGCAACTATTGAGGAAGAGAAGGATGACCTTTTAGTGATATGCACCGATCTAGAGGAAACCATTGAGGGACTCAATAGAGAACATAAGAATGTGAGTCTTGGGAAAGGGAAAGAAGTAGCTAGTGAGACACATCTTGCTTGAAAAGGAATTAACTGTTGTGAAAACCAGTCTATGTAGTGAACTCGAGAAGAATCAGCAACTTCAAGCTGAATTGGAGAAAGTAAGAATTGATCTTGAGAAATCTCTAAAGTGGACCTGGTCCTCAGATGTTGTCACTGCCATGTATCTTAACAATAGTGGAAACAGGCAGGGCATCGGGTTCCAAAGGGAGAAAACTCCTTAAAACCCTCACATCAAGTATGTCACTATCCCTGATAACTGGCTATGTATCCACTGTGGGAACAATGGGTATTTTAAAGAAAATTGCCAGGCCAAGATTCAGTCTGTTCAGAAAAACAAAGTGTTTACTGATAAAATGACTACTAACAAAGGACCAGATACCACTCGCAAGAAGCGGATGTTGCCTGCATGGACTAGGAAAGCCCTTATTCATCATTTCTATCATAACAAGGGACCCAAACTAGTTTGGGTTCCTAAATCTAACCTTTGATTTGCATGTACAGGGAATAGTGAGAGGAAGCAGACTGCGATGGACTATGGACTGTGGATGCTCAAAGCACATGACTGAAAATATCATGAATTTCTTCTCACTGAAAGCCCTGCAGGAAGGGAATGTATCCTTAAAATGAAAGAAGAGGGTACATTCTCAGTAAATGTAAAGTTGGAATGCTTTTTTTGGCACTCAGTTGGGAACGTGTACTATGTGAAAGGCCTAAAGTACAGGTACCAATCTGATAACTGGCCGAGTGGTCTCAGTGGACAAAGGAAACAAGAACGTCCACTCGGTCGACTATGAATGTCCAAAAGCTGGTGGTATGAGATAAGTGAAATCGGAAAATTGGCATGAAATAATGGTCTATGCAAGCTTCTCACCTCCGAATAAATTAACTCATAAAGACCTGATGCGTGGTCTGCCAAACTCAAGAGTCACCTGGACACGGGTCCACAAAACAAAGGAGGAGACTCTCTAGGTGTTAATGGTTCTTGTCAAGAATATTCAAGTGAAAACAAAAAAGGGGGAGGGGGGTCACGCACAATTTGTCTATACTAAGGACTCCACAGAAAAATGGTATTGCTGAAAGAATGAACAGAACTGGAAGATGTGGCATGGACAATGCTCTTCGACTATGGAATCGCCAAGAAATTCTGAGCAAAAGTAGTAAATACTGCTTTCTACTTGGTGAACAAGTGTCGATCAGGTCCCTCCTGAATCAAAACCCACTATGAGCTGTCAAATAGAAACAAAATGCCTTCTTGATAGAAAGACAACTCATCTGAGAACCTTCTTGACTAAAAATGCCATGTTCTCAACAACGGGAAGGATCAGCTTGGGAAGATTAATGCAAAAGACGAACGAAGGAATCCTTCTGGGGTACTCTCCACAGAGTAAGGCCACAAAGTCTATAACAAAGGGCACACTAAATGAAAGGAAGTGCTCATGGGGTATTCAACAAGACACCTTACTCTAACCAAGAAGAAACAATGATGATCAATATGATGAACCAACTCTTGTCCCTGAGAAATATCTGAGGATTCAATTAGGGAGGCTGATAAAATGAGTAAGATGAAGGAGACTGGTAAAAGACAATGCAACATCATCTTCCACTTCTCATAAGGAACATGGTACTCCACTTACCACTACTGAAGATGAAGAAAGAATGGAGATGCAGCTCATGGAACTCTTCACAACAGAACACAGAGTGTGGGGAAATCAAATTCTTCCAAATCTTCCCTACCAATCAAACTTCAGTCCCAAACTGCAAACACAAAAGTTCCCATCTGTGTGACAAGTTAATCACTTTCTGTTATTCTAGAGTTAGATAAGTTTTTTTTTTAAAAAAAAACACAAAAACAACAAAAAAAACATTTTTCCTTAGTTCCTTCTGTATCACCACTCCAGAATAGAATCCAAAGTGAAAGTCCGAAGGAATACTACTTGAAGGATGCCCACAGAAGTTTGAGATACCTTAAGGGAACTCAGGACCTGGTCCCGTATTACCTATCAGGTGACAACATTTTTAATCCTGTTGGGTATGATAATGTTAACTATGCAGGTTTTTCTGTGGAAATGAAAAGCACTTCTGGAACGGTTCACTTGCCATGATTATGTCTCATCCCTTGGGGGACAAGGAAGCAAAACTCAATGACCTCGTCAACAACTGAAGAAGAATCTCAAAACAAGAGGACCAAGCACATTGAGGGGTGGGATTATCTTCTGAGGGTCAATATGAAGAAAAGGTTGATCTGTAGAAAGTCTTGCAAAACAGAAGACCAAATTTCAGATATCTTTGTCAAAGCCTTAAGTAGAGAATATTCTGGATCAAACAAGGTGAAGATGGGGTCATAAGAGTCTAATAAAGAACCCGATCCTCCATCAGCTGGCTATGCAAGACACCGTTAGGTAAAGTTAGCTAAAGTGTTTTCTGACCAAGCCTAACTCACATCAATACCGTTGCAGGTAAACACGCATAACGATCATAGAAGCTAAATGTACAGTATGAACTACGAGAGAGGAGCTGCTAAAACCTTTTTCAAAAATTGGTCTGGCATCAGGTTCCTGTACCCTAGGTTAGTAGTAATGTGCTTATTGTGCATGGCTTCACAAAACAATTTTTTTTAACAAAATTAACTCAACTGCCACATCATCCGACTTTTCAAAGTCTACATGTCATGTCTTGTCTTTCAAATCCCTTCATCCCTTCTTCACGGTAACGCTTTCCCACAAACCTACCGCCGTTTTTAGAACTATTCAGAACCTGTTTCTCTCTCCTCTCATCATTAGCCCTTCTTCCAATAAAACTTTCTCTCTCTCTCACAGCAAGTCATGAACCTTCATCTCTTTTGTGTAGCTGTGATCCTCTCTTCATCTCTCTCTCACTCTACTAGTCTTCCAAGTACTCCTATAATGACAATCGAACAATCGCCTCATTCTTCCACCATTAACACCACTCCCTCTTTCCTATCATCCCTGAAATCATCCCTAGAGCTTCACTATTTCACTCATTCTTCTAGTTTACCCACACCTGTCTCCTGCTCTTTTCCTATAGTCTTTCCTTTTCTGACAAACCCTGTTTTTCTCCCATATATTGAGAACTCTATGTCTTGTCACTCCTCTGATCTCATCAAAGAACACTCAGGGGGTTTCATCTTTGAAGTGTTAGAGGTCCCTGAGGATGATCCTGATCAGTATCTGAACTCCTCTATTTTAGACTAAGTGACTCTCAAAGAGTCACCGGAAAAAGAAGCAATGCACACTACAAGAAAAAGACTTATTAGTGACCAAAATCTAGCGACGGGTTGCAAATCTCGTCCCTAAAAGTTTACTTATAAGGACGATATTGATTTCTAGTCCCTAGTTCTCCATTTTATTTTTTAATTAGCGAAGGGACTAAATTCGGCCACTAAAATAGTTGAATTCTAGTTTTTAATACTGTTATTTAGTGGAGTAGACCACATTATTTAGCTTTACCTTAAAAAGATGAAATAAACAAAAATAAAAACTCTGTAATTAGAACTCAGTTCTCTGAAAATTCCATCTCTCCTTCTCAAAACCTTGAAAACCCTAGACCTTATCTCTCAAACCCGTAAGATCCCTAAATCTTCATCTCTCAAGATTTCATTTTTTCGATTTCTTCTTATATTGTTAGAGAGACATGGGTAGCCGTTGGATGGAGTACTGATGTTCTTCCTTCTGCAAAGTTGTTGAATATTGCATTGTTCTTAAATCAGATACAAGTTTGTGGGCTGATTTTTGAGTATGTCAAAAATTATCCTTTTATATGTATTCTATAATGGTTTATCTAGTTATTCCATATTGTTTGGGTCAATTCTTCTCCAAAAGTTATAACAAATCTAGCTAGGGCTTGAGCTCCAGATATATTTTGGGATTCTCGATAAACTATGTCCAATAAAGTAAATTTCTTATCATTATTGGCGACGAGGTAGTGATTTCATTCCAAGATAATTTTTTATGGATTTACATTGTGATTACAAATTTTTGTTTTTTGATTGTTAAACTAAAACGTTTTTCTTTGTTTGCTTGCTTTATTATTTTTCGCTTTTAATGTCAATGTATAAATATTCATATGAGTTGTGACATATTATCACAGAAATGTCTTACTGAATTCAAATGTAACGATAAAGATATTTTGTCATGAATTTGAATTTTAAATGTAAATTGCATCAGTTTATGACATGATAATTTTGGAAGGGTCTATGGGGGATATTTGTTACTTCTTGCGCTATTAAATGTGATGGTCACATGTAATGCGAGAAGAAAATAGAAGAATATTAGACGGTTTATGTTGTGAAAGAAGGGTGTTAATAATTAGTTTAGGAGTTTTGAACTTCAAAACTTGTACCAGGAATGAGATTATTTTTCAGTGGTTATAAAAGGATGTAGCACAGTAGTTAAAATTTATCATGTTCATTTGATTGTTTGTATATCTAAGTAGTTGAGTAATCAATAGAGTTAGAGGCTCCCTTATTGAGTTATGGTTTCTTTTCTTTTTCCATAGAAATAATGTACTATGTTTTGTTCTAATTTTGAGCTTATGTTTGATCAGTGGATTAAGATATTCTTTGTGTTTGGCCATGATACTCCCTTTGAGTTAACTTGTACCTATTTTCACATCTTAGATTTGATATTTGCATTATCCCAGCACTTTTACAAGCTTCAATCCATTGAGATGTATAATATTCTTGTGAAGCCAATCTCATTGGTGCAAAGTTATGTAGAAATTCTTAGTTTCACTATTCTTTGTTTGGCGTATCTCTAGTTATTTTTCTTATCTGCTAATGAAATCATGATCTTGGTTGTTAATATATTTTTTTCGATGTCAGTTGCTACATTTCAGGATTAGCTATTGTTATCCTTTATCTTATTTGACTTTTTTGACTTCTTGGAGAATAATAGGAGCAAAAATATGAGTATGCAGTTAATTTAGGTTGAGCAACTGTACCCTTTTTCCAAAGTAATATCATTAAACTGGAAAATACTATTATTTGTCATGACTTGAGTGACATTCAAATTTGTGAACAAACTATATCCCCCGGTTATCATAAATAAGTAGTTGAAAAGTGAAGTATTTGAGCAGTGCTAGAAAAGAAATACTTTTTTTTGTTTGAGTTGCTATGTCATTGTTTAGAATGTCTTGATTTCATTTACATTATTCTCTATGCAAGGAAATTACTTCCTTGAATGTTATGAATGGGCAGCTTTAAAAGATAGTAAAACATGCAACTAATTCTGATGTCCTTAAGATGGTCTAGCTGAAAATATTGTGACCAACATATTAGTTGAACTACTAGAATTCCCTACTACCTTATTTCATTTGAGCACAATGAAGTATGCTATCCAAATGGTTAGTTATTGGAAATGCTTTCGTGCACAGTAGCATATTTTATTTTTATTTATTTCCTAGTTGTATAGGCTAATATGGTGTTAATATGTGCAGGTACAAGTGAAGGTCCAAGTATATTCAAACAGCAAGATTTTGAACACAAAGTGCAGAGAATTTTCACCTTAATGAAATATATGAAAAATACCTTTAACAAAAAATTTCCTCGAATAATAGAGTCCATATGAAGATGCTACACTAGGAGAAATTTTGTTCCCTTAGAGGCTGTACAGAGTTTAACCATTGCACCAAGAGGTACTAAGATGAAATATTAGGATATAGTTTGAATATTAATGTAGTTCAAGACTAGCAGCTTGATGGTTTTTAGCTTTAATTTGTTGTAGTTATGCACTATTTTAGACTTTGCTGTAGAGATGCAATCTCCATTGAGTTCAGCTTCTTGACGTACTCAGTTTTAACAACAGTTGAGACTAATTAATACCGTGTGAAGTTCTCAGGGCGAAGTGGATGCAGAAATGAAGATTTGTTGAATATGAAGATATTTTACCAAGGCAGTTTCATAGTAGAAAAAAAGGCTTAGCAGAGGGGATTCAAACCACAACAAAAACATCGGCCTCTTACACTAGACATTATTCCTGCAGACAAAAGCTAATACAACATTTATCCAATTATGTTCCTTACTGCTACAAAACTAAGTTATTTCTTTACGATTGTTGGTTGATCTAATTTTTGCCTTTAAAGTAATATTTTTAACTTATTATATTAGTTTAATTACTCACTTTGGAATGTATTAAATATACTAGTATAGCGAGGATATTTAGATGGTTGTACTATGTAAAGTTCATATTCAGAAATATGTTGGAGGTAAGGTATATGTCCCCCTCCTTGTATTTGACATGTTAATGAAATCTACATCAAGGTCTCAATGATTTAACCTTGATGTGTATATATCAAATCTTGATGTTACTGGTAATTTTGTCTATATTATGCTAATTATTTTTCTCGCAAATTGTATAATATTCTGGTAATAAATTGGATATGAAACAATTAGCAATCAGACTTTTGGTCCTTAAAGATCTTTAAGAACTATAATTTTTGGTCCCTAAATATATAAATGTGCCAGATGGGTCATTGTCTAAGGGATAGAAATCTGGTCCTAAATGTGTTTTAGAGACCAGAATAATTTTAGTCGCTAAAACTCTTTAACAACCAGTCATTACGCTCGTCCTTATTACCTTTTAGAGACAGAGCCTATAGCGACTAGTGACGACCAGATTTTACTGGTCTCTATTGACACTTTAAGACCAGAATCGGACTTTTAGGGACCATTTTTCTCGTATATAAAAGACAATTTTCTTGTAGTGACATAACATCATGGCTATCACTGTTGAGAGTCTGATGAATGAAGGAGCATATCTCTCGTCTGAGTATCAGGGGGAAGAAACTCCATTCCTAGGAGATGTAAGAACCACAATATTCCTCGAGTCTTTAGCTCATGAGATGCTCTCAAAAAAACCTTCTGAAGAACCTGATTCTCTTCCATGCAAACCCTCTCCTGTACCTCCTGATCACTCTAAGCTCGTAGAGTCCTCCTCCAAATCACCCTCTATTAGGTCACAACAGCAAGAGAGTTTTGAGTCCACATTGCAGAAAAGTAAGAGGAGTGTCAAGACACGGAAAAAGAGGATAATGAATCAAAGGGAATTTGTCACTAACAAAAGTGTTCCAGTAAGTGGGATTGACAAAAATGCTCCAATGGAACCTGGTTCCTTAGTACAACAATCTATGAAAACTCAAAAGTCTATGGATAAAGCTTCCGATGAAACTATTGAGCAACAAAATGGTTCATCCGTGAAGGGCAGCAACAAGTCCAAAAGGAGTCAAACTGAGCAAGCCATGTCTGAAGATGATATTGTGGGGTTAGTAAGCTTGAAAGGAAAGTCTGGTAAAGGGTCTAGCAAATGAAAATGGGAAACTATTAAAGAACCTGGTGCACTAAGGACCATGTCCTGTGATAGTGGTTTTTGGCAGTAGAGATTAAGAAATCAGAAAGTCTTGTGGGGTCGTACATTTGACCCAACAATTTCGAAGATGACCGGTATGAGACAAATTCTTGAGATTGTGGAATTTCAACAATGGGAACACTTGTTTGAAGGGAGCATGCCTCTGGTGTACGAAGATGCGGTACAAACCTTTTACACATCTCTCTTCACTATTGAGGGGGATCACATTTGTGCGCTACTAAATGGAGTAGACATACTACTTGACGCTTCAACATTGGGAAAGGTTCTCAGAATTCCATGTGAAGGGATATCCTCAGTCAAGGGTGTCTATGGTGTAAACTTTAGGAGAGCCATCATGAAGGAGCAAGCTATTCAGTAGGGGGAACAAGTGATAAGAAGGTATTGCTTCTTGAGTATCAGCTTCTCTTTGAACTGGTCAATAAGGTGCTCTTACCTCGTTTTGAGAGGCGATCTATTGCTACAAAATCGGATATGGTCTTAATAGAAGACCTTGATGAGTTTGTCCTAATAAATTTTCCAGCAATCATGGTAGATCATATGCAAAAGTTGGCAAACTTTAAAGGTGGGAATCATGGGCTACCATATGGCTTTCTCCTCACTCAGATGTTTAGATTCTACAAGGTCCCCTTGGGGAGTCCCAGAGTAGGCGCACGCAAGAAAACCTTCTCTAAGATCACTATAGAAGAATGCGAATATTTAGAAAGAGTTGGTGGAAGCATCTTGACCATTTCTCAGCTGATCAACGCTCAAAATGTAGCTTCTAAAGAGATCAAAAGGTTGAGGGGTCAAAATGCCATACTGGAAACTCAGCTCAGTCAAGCAGTTAAAGGACCTGATTCTATTAATGAAGAAGTTGCACTACTGACAAAGGAAAATGATAAACTTCGGGCACAATTACTTGAAGAACAACTGTCTGCAAATACTCAACTAGACCTGGTTCTCAAAACCATTGCTGTCTCTTCTTCCAAGCCTCCTTCTTCTAGTGTCCCCTAGGATCCTCTTAGTGTCCAGCTATTTTTGCTCTAATATTTTATGGCTACTGTTTTATTTTTGTTTGCCTTTATTTTTGTGATGGCATGCTGGAATTCACAATTACTACTCCTGTCTTGCTCAGTCCATTGTAAACATTAATAAAACAGCTCTCCTTTTTGCCTGTACAATGCTGTGTTCCTCTGTCTTCTCTTTTTTGTCATGTTGTGTGCATATATATGGAATGAGCTAGCTGTGTTAGACTTCTTTATGCTACATTCCTGCTTGTGCTCTTTTTAATGATGCCAAAAGGGGGAAGAATATAAGATTCAGGGGGAACTTTGTTTGGGAATATCAGACTTTGTGTGGGAATATCAGATTTCAAGAGAGCTATGAGATTAAGGGGGTACTTTGTGTAGTTTCTGGTATCTTATCTGGTTATTTCTGCTTTAAACAAATACTATTCATGCCTAAGTTTGTCATCATCAAAAAGGGGAAAATTGATGGGTTTTCAATGTCTTGGCCTTATGCTTCTTATATTTTGATGATGTAACAAACTTATTGTGAAGAACCAGATAGAGAACCTGGCCCACATGGTATACATTTCAACTGACCTGGTCCAAGTCTAAAAATCAGCAAATGAATGAACGACTACAGGGAGGAACACAACAGGGACCTGGTGACCTGGTCCCATAGGGTTCTCCGACACAAGTACAAGTTAGTGACTGTTCGCAATCATTATAAAGAGGAACACAACAGGGACCTGGTCCCTTAGGGTTCTCTGATAGAAGTACATGTCAACTGTACAGTTGGAACGTAGCAGCAGAAAGTGACCATCTCGCAACTGTTACAGAAGAGGAACACAACTAAGATCTAGTCCGTTAGTGTTCTCTAACAGAAGTAAAAGTCGACTATCTAGCTGGAACGCAACTGCACAAAAGTGGCTGTGCAGACAGTACAACAATCACTTCTCATTGGGAAGAAGCGTGTACCAAGAATTGACATCACTATCTATTGTAATGTCTTTTGTGATATAACAACCTGGTGCAAGGCACAACATTTTTGTGCATTCAGTGATACTCTCTCAAGCATAACAGTATTTATTCGGCATTGAAGTCATTGGTGTGTCAAGATTAAGAAGACAACTCCACTAAGGATCAGTTTTTAGAAGAGTTTATGTACATTCGTAGTTGAGTTGTAATCTTGTTATTTACTCTTCATTGTATTTCCTAGTTTGCTTTCTTAGAAGCTTTGACATAGGAAAAAAAACCAAAAATCTGTAAACTTCTGAGTTTATCTTGTGACTAGGAATAATCATAAGTTTAAAGCCTTTGTAACTAGGAGAGTTATAAAGTGGCTTGTGGTGAGAGCATCACAAGTTAGTTGAAGTCTTTGTAATAGGGTTATTGCAAAGCGGCTTGTAATAGGGATATTGTAAGTTAGTAAAGTTACAAGCCTACAAGAGTAGGTCGTGGTTTTTTGACCCCCTTGTGTGGGATTTTTCCACGTAAAAATCCATTGTCTTCTTTACTTTCAGTTTCTATAGCATTCTCAGTATTATCTCATATAGTACCTATGAGCACGTGATTTTTGCCCTATATGAATTACTCCAACAAATTCAAAACAAAATAATTTCTTTTAGTGTTTGCAATTTTGTTAGATTTCGTGGCGTTTTCTGTTAATTATTTGCATTTGTCTGTGCACATTTATTTTATTTTATTTATGAAAAATACAAAAAATATGTTGCATCTGCATTTAGGATTTAATTTTTTATTTTTAGATTAATTAGCAAATTAGTTTTAAAAAAAATGAAAATCACAAAAAATAATTCATTTTGCATTTTTATTTTTTAATTTTGAATTGTATAATTTTTCTTTAAATTTAGGATTTAATACCATGGTGAGTGATTAATCTAATTGGGTAGGTTAATTTAGTTTAAAAATTATTATTAATTAATTTGGGATTTATTTTAATTTTAGAAAGAAAGGAATTTTGAAATTGAAAATGAAAAGAAAGAAATGAAAGAAATCCAACTCTGGGCTAAAACCTATTTAATTGCCCCAGCCCAGACGGAATGACCCAATGCCTGGCCCAAACCCCCTAACCCGGTCCGGCTTCCCCCCAAACGAAACGACGTCGTTTCATAGGCAACAGATCAGGACCGTCGAGGTTTCTTCATCGGACGGTCCTGAAGCTCAGGTCCCTTAGTATTTCAATGTCCAAACCTGCCCCCACCCTTGACTCATCTCCCTCACAAACCCGCCCCTGCCAAACCCTAACGCCGCCGCCCTAAATTCCCCCACCGCCGGAGGTGGCGCCACTACGGACCGACCTCAGATTAATACCAAATACCCTCCTCAACTCCCTCAGTCCAAATCTACAAGCACTTTCCATCGAACAAGCCCAGAACGTCTCGAATCTTGATTTGAAAGAAAACCCTAGCGCCGCCCCTGTGTTCTCCGGTGGCGGCGCCGCCTCGGTTCGACCCCAAAATCACACCCCTGAACCCCCGTCTCTCCCTCACCCCAAATCCCCACATATATTCCCTCGAATCACCCCAGAACTCTCCAAATGTCAAATCTGAGTTCGAACCCTAAAAATTCCGTCAAAGCTGTGGGCATGCATGGCCTTAAGCCTCAGATCTACTCGAGTTTGAAGTCTTATTCAACACGAATTGCTGCTGCTCATTTGTTCTTGACAAAGAACAAGTGATTAGCATCAGTTCCGTTGAAATCAAGGTGTCTGACGCCATTTCGGGTTTGCTAGGGTAAGTTTCCTTCCCTTTTTCTTTTCTATCCGAGTTTACCTTCTATTCCTCTTCTTTTATTCTCCCTTTCTTTAAGTTTTTTTTACCTTGACTGGGATTCGAACAAAGTTCTGAACCTAGGTTCTCTTAAGATTGATTTTGCGTTTGTATCTATGTCATTGGCTTTTCAGCTTTCTTTTTTTTGAAGTT